AATATAGACAATGGCATGCGTGGCAATAAAAGCATGTATGCTAGGTGTGCATTCTTCTAATAATAATTTCAGCAACCTAATATGCGGAATTATAATGTTTAAGAGTCAAAGCTGTAAAATACTACAAGAATCTCAATATGTTACTAGCATGATTCTAGCATGAATTAGCATGTTGTTAGCATGATTCTAGCATGAATTAGCATGTTATTAGCATGATTCTAGCATGAATTAGCATGTTGTTAGCATGATTCTAGCATGAATTAGCATGTTACTAGCATGATTCTAGCATGAATTAGCATGTTACTAGCATGAATCTAGCATGAATTAGCATGTTGTTAGCATGATTCTAGCATGGATTAGCATGTTACTAGCATGATTTTAGCATAAATTAGCATGATTCTAGCATGAATTAGCATGTTGTTAGCATGATACTAGCATGAATTAGCATGTGACTAGCATGATTCTAGCATGAATTAGCATGTAACTAGCATGATTCTAGCATGAATTAGCATGTTGTTAGCATGATGGATAGATAGATAGATAGATAGATAGATAGATAGATAGATAGATAGATAGATAGATAGATAGATAGATAGATAGATAGATAGATAGATAGATAGATAGATAGATAGATAGATAGAAGTAGATAGATAGATAGATAGATCAGAAAATCCAGTGAGTAAACCACAGCAAGCTTCGCATTTGAAGTGAACCCAACATTATTCTCAGCAACTAAAAAACTCCATAATGTGGTTATATATTTTATATTTCCATAGGCTACTATAGTTAATCGTTAAAAAACATCCTCGAAAATTAAACAAATGTACTTATTCAAAACCCTGAGCATGTTAACACACCACAAACAAGACAAATGATCTAATATAGACAATGGCATGCGTGGCAATAAAAGCATGTATGCTAGGTGTGCATTCTTCTAATAATAATTTCAGCAACCTAATATGCGGAATTATAATGTTTAAGAGTCAAAGCTGTAAAATACTACAAGAATCTCAATATGTTACTAGCATGATTCTAGCATGAATTAGCATGTTGTTAGCATGATTCTAGCATGAATTAGCATGTTATTAGCATGATTCTAGCATGAATTAGCATGTTGTTAGCATGATTCTAGCATGAATTAGCATGTTACTAGCATGATTCTAGCATGAATTAGCATGTTACTAGCATGAATCTAGCATGAATTAGCATGTTGTTAGCATGATTCTAGCATGGATTAGCATGTTACTAGCATGATTTTAGCATAAATTAGCATGATTCTAGCATGAATTAGCATGTTGTTAGCATGATACTAGCATGAATTAGCATGTGACTAGCATGATTCTAGCATGAATTAGCATGTAACTAGCATGATTCTAGCATGAATTAGCATGTTGTTAGCATGATGGATAGATAGATAGATAGATAGATAGATAGATAGATAGATAGATAGATAGATAGATAGATAGATAGATAGATAGATAGATAGATAGATAGATAGATAGATAGATAGATAGATAGAAGTAGATAGATAGATAGATAGATCAGAAAATCCAGTGAGTAAACCACAGCAAGCTTCGCATTTGAAGTGAACCCAACATTATTCTCAGCAACTAAAAAACTCCATAATGTGGTTATATATTTTATATTTCCATAGGCTACTATAGTTAATCGTTAAAAAACATCCTCGAAAATTAAACAAATGTACTTATTCAAAACCCTGAGCATGTTAACACACCACAAACAAGACAAATGATCTAATATAGACAATGGCATGCGTGGCAATAAAAGCATGTATGCTAGGTGTGCATTCTTCTAATAATAATTTCAGCAACCTAATATGCGGAATTATAATGTTTAAGAGTCAAAGCTGTAAAATACTACAAGAATCTCAATACAATTCTCAATAAAAACAGAATGGAATAATCAGGGTTTCTATGTGAAAAGCCAAATCTCAATCGACAACTAAATCTCATGCCAAATAATTTCTCTTCGTGCAAAGTGTGCACAGACTTTTTTCAAAAGCAGCCTTATTAAATCCATATAACATGTTCAAGTCTTTGACAGCCTGATCTCACGAGAAAACGTAAGTATTTTACGTTTTGCCAGTTTAGTGGAGTTCAGTCGTACGAAATGGTACGATTTTAAAATGGAGGTGTGGCACCTAACCCCACCCCTAACCCCAACCGTCATTGGAGGATAAGCAAATTGTACTAAACAGTACGAATTAGATCGTACGAATACATACGAATTAGCCACTAAATGAAAAAGTTATGAATTGCCGTGAGATTGTGTTGGTCTTTGAATGTATAATCAAGCATCAGGGTTTGGACTCATTGCTTTAAATATTATTATGTCGTATAAGTGTCTACTCCCAATAGTGTTCATTAGTAATGTGGTCTTACCTACCAGCATGACGTTAAAGTAAATTGGTTCTTGCACAAGACTGTTATATGTACAGGTAAGAGGATAAATCTGATTGCAAAACCATTTATCTCAGAATTTACTGGCAGAGGTTATTCATGATTGTCCAGCTGTTATTTTACAGATATGTTATTTGGTGTTGGCATTTTGATGTCTGCAGCAATCTTGCTGTCTGCAGTTAAGTGCAGGGCACAAATTAACAGGGGGTAAAATGTAACAGTTTTAAGGCATTTGCTCGGGGTTAAACATAGCAGACGTCTTCCTGCCAATTATTGATAATTATTGCTTAAAAGTAATTTTATTTATTATCCTCTATATATTTTTTATTTTATTTTTAAAAAATCTGTGGGTCGCCACAGTTGTCGCCACAGTGGAATGAACCGCCAGCTCATGTTTTACGTAGCGGATGCCCTTTCAGCTGCAACCTGTCATAGGGAAACATCCATACACAGCATTCACACTCATACACTATGGATAATTTAGCTTATCCAATTCAGCTAAACTGCATGTCACACACTGGGTGACACCAAATAAACAAACTAAATATTTGTTTTATTTTTGAGTGTAATGCTGTAAACTTTTTATATAAAAAAGATTTTTAATAGAAAATATTTTTGGATTGAAAAAAAATAATTTTATTGCTAAAAATGCAAATTAATGCATTGTATAATAATGGATAATAATGCAAATAAGTCTGAATGTGTTTATCCAACAGGTAAATAAATAAACACTGTTCTATGAAAAATAAAAAATGAGTTAAGTACTGAGGAAATATACTATTTAATGTAAACTGAATTTAAAATAATTGTGTGAAATCTGACTTTATCAGCATTTGTTACAAATAACTCTGTCTGTTACAGCTTGCCCTGCAAGTGAGGTAAATAGTAACATTTTTACTCCTGGCACTTTTGGCAATACTGCACAGAAACCATAGGTCTGGCGATCATACAACCAGTGCTTATTTGTAGGAGAGGTTTGTGTTTTGTTAGTAAAAAAATGGTTTGTCTAACCCCATTACTTTGTTTATTATTTGGCCAAAACCAAAAAAATCTTAATTTGTGCCCTGCTACACTACTTAAAATAAATAAATAAATAAAAGGAACACTAAAACAGCACAATGTAACTACAAGTGTTCCCTTTATTTTTTGAGCAGTGCAATATAATACAGTATAAGTATAATACCGTACAGTATAATATATATAAAATCTTTTTAGCACATTTTAATCTGATTTTTAATCACCGTTATTACTTGTTTTTATTTTCTCACCTTGTGCAAAGCACTTTGAATTGCAACTGTATTTGAAATGTGCTATATAAATAAACTTGCCTTGCCTTAACTGTTGACCTGACACTGTTTATGTTCTAAAATTCCAAATTTTGGGAATAATTAAACCAGTTTAGTCAGTTGTCTTTTTATACAGTATTTTATTTTATCTGCTGAATAAAATTAAAAGAAATTATAAAAAAAAAAGATAAGAAAACTGACTAAACTGGTTTATTTATTTATTGCAAAAATCAGGAATGGTTCAGACTGTCCGTATCCATGAACACTCCAAACAGTTGAATCCAAAAAAAAAAAAAAAAACATCCTTCACCTGTAATTTAATTGTACGATAATATACAAATGTATAAATAAATGTTTCATGGATGTAATGATTTTGAGGACTAAAAGTGCAACTGGAAGAAGCTTCACTTTAACAACTTTGAACTGGATTCATCTAGAAATTGCTGTTTCAGCATTTTCAGCGGTTTCAGCGTTATTTATTTATTTATTTTTATTTATTTATTTATTTATTTATTTATTTATTTATTTATTTATTTATTTATTTATTTATTTATTTATTTATTTATTGCAGTTAAAATAAAGAATTGCATTTGAAATCTAAACAGAGCAAGGAAAATCATTTTGAAATCTAACAGAGCAAGGAAATTTTCACAGTATGTCTGATAATATTTTTTCTTCTGGAGAAAGTCTTATTTGTTTTATTTCGGCTAGAATAAAAGCAGTTTTTAATTTTTTAAAGAATCATTTTAAGGTCAAATTATTAGCCCCTTTAAGCTATATATTTTTTGATAGTCTACAATAACTTGCCTAATTACCCTAAACTGCCTAGTTAACCTAATTAACCTAGTTAAGCCTTTAAATGTCACTTTAAGCTGTATAGAAGTGTCTTGAAAAGTATCTAGTCAAATATAATTTACTGTCATCGTGGCGAATAAAAAATAAATCAGTTATTAGAAATGAGTTTTCTTTAAAAATGTGTTGAAAATGTCTTTGTTAAACAGAAATTGGGGAAAAATAATAAACTGTATATTACTCTATTACTTGTGCTGACACACTTAAATTATAAAACAGAGATTGCATAGTGACACTAAACCCTCATATATTTACCTTTTGTTTGTTTTGTTGATACAAAAGTGAGAATCTATTTGTTATTTTATCAGCAAGGAATAAATATAATTGTTCAAACTAAACATTCCAGACATTCTGCTGTAAAATATTTTAAATTAGAATTCAAATTCATCCTTGATCGCAATAAAAATGCACATGCATGAAATCTTCCACATTGTACACTTACCGATGACAAGGATGTAGAATGCTGCCACTATGTCTGCCTCCTTGGACAACTTGGAGGCAAAGGGATCCCCTCGAAGGAGGTAATGTGGGATGTATCCCGAGGAGATGGAGGTCTCATTCTCCATTAGGGCCTTTACTGAGGAGTGTGATTACTTTCCTGCAGAATTAGGAGGAAAAATTATTAAAAGCTTAGGCAGAAAAACTTTTGAACTCAGTTTGAGACATAAGCTGGAGGGCGGACATATACAAGACATTCATGATTCCAAAACCTCCTGCCAATGTTCTGACATGCCAGATTAGTCTTATTGCTACTGTATGTGAAAACACTCCCTTCAATTCACAATCAATACACAATGAGTCCTTGTGCATTCCCATGACAAACGTTAATGAGCAGAATTAAAGAAAATGGAGCATGAAAACACAACCTCAGAAATGATTAAACTTCACACACTGGATGCAGTTGTAAATAACAGCATGGATATAAATCAGATGTTCTAGCGATGTATTCTTTAGCAGGCCCTCTAATAAACACAGAAGTAGTTTCCAGTAGTTAATGGTGGGCCCTTTAACAATGCAACTTGTCATTAACAATGTAATAAAAGGCTCTCTTTCAATTTATCAGTCTTTTAATTGGTCATAGTACTGGAATAAATTAGAGATTCTGTGTGTAAACGGCATCTGGCTGCCAATTATTGTAATAGCTGGGTTTTTTTTCACAAATATTAATTTATTTGCAGGTTCCGATAAAAATCACAAAACATCACACAGATGGATCAAATTAAATCGTCACAAATCACAGAACAGGCGACCGCTGTTTTTCTCTTAACACGCTGAAAAAATAAAATGTGTAGGACTTTATTTGATAAGAATAAATTGCTTGTATTTTACAAATATAAGTAAGTAAACATGAAGTTAAATAGACTGGCAGGTTTAGGTGAAATTAACAAAAACTCAATGCAAAAAATGCTTTTCTTACCAAGAGGTTTTGTCTAGTTTCTAGTCCAAATGTCTTCAAATTGTTAAATCAAGAATAATTTTTTAGACAAGCAAAATGTGTTGTCTTGTTTTGAGAAATTATGTGTTGTAATTGAGTGCAAATTGAGTACAAGCAAAATAATCTGCCAATGGGGTAAAGAAAAATAATCTTGCTTTCTATTTAAAATTAGATTAGTTTGCTTACCCCACTGGCAGATTATTTTGATTGTTTTTAAAGAAAGACAGACAAAATTTTGGCATATTATTTCTTAAATCAAGACAATGAGTTTTTCTTGTCAAGAAAATGCTTTTTGATTGAAGAATATTTAGATGTTAAGGGCCCTATTATACATCTGGCGCAATAAATACGTTTTTCTACGACATGTTGCTATTTTCATACCAACCTAATCAGCAACCCTAATTTTCTTGTTTTCCGCCACGTTGTTTAAATAACAAATTCATTCGCGCCACTTTGTGGACTCATAGGTGATTTCACTTAGAAATTAGGTGTTTTAAGGTGCATTGTTGGTGCGTTGCTATTTTGAGGAACTAAAATAGACTGCACAATAGACCAGCTGAAAGCAGGACTAAAGTCCAGCGCAGAGCACTTTAGTTGTGCGCGTTGCTTAAACATTGCTTAAAACAAGCAGGATGTACAGCAATATACAAATATCTTTAATAATGAAAAAGAAATAAAGGATTAAAATATTATAAAATTATTACTTTGTACATAAATAAAAAAAAAGATTGCCTTTATGTCTTCTTCGTCTCAGGGGCTTTTTTTTTTTTTGTTTATTCAAGACAACAGCATACAACTCAGTTGTTTGACCACACTTCCTTATTATTGTTCATTTATTCGATTTCTGGAAATTAGAACTAAATTTAGAAATAGTTTTGAAATAAATCTTTGCACTTACCGAACAAAATTAATTATGTAGGCTAATTGATGTCTGTGTGTACAACACCCATTTCCTAATCCGCGGAAGAGAGAAAGTGAAAGTAGAGGCCGTTTGGAGGAGGCTCATTATTTATCCTCGTGCTGCAGATGGTCTGTTAAACTGTTTTCTCGCTAGTGAAGCCATCAGTTTTTCCACTTACAAAGTCTGCCATATAAATAGCAAATGCGCCATGGCTCGACGCAACTGACTTTTAAAGGGAATGGGAGATGAGACTCTGATTGGTTTATTCTCAAAACACACCCATAACTCATAATTAAAAGAATAAGCTCAACCCTCTTAGACCATGTGCCGCAACGCAGAGCGAATTTTTCCGTCTTTAAAATAGCTAAAGTGATATGCCGTAAATGCTTTTGCGCCCTGCGCTTCAGACTTAGCACATAGATCGTTAAAATAGAGCCCTATGACTAAACAAGACAAAAAATCTAAGAAAAGCATTTTTTTGCAGTATATTCTCTGGATCTGTTATTATAAAAAGTAATTTTGTTTATGACCTTTTTAAGTTGACTGAGAGAGCTAGAAAATTGGGTCTTGGAAAGCTTCCAAACTGAATGCAGCCTTCTGGAGCCTGATATACACCAAGACACAAAAAAAACGATGAACTGCTAAAAAATGTAAGATTCTTCTATACAAACAAAAGGTGTAGAAGAACAAATATTGATCCTCCACCATCACAGTACAGGGTAACAGTTCAGTTCATATACTAGATGAATACAGTCATTCAGAATGTGCCAGTCACCAGAGTTAGACAAAAAAAAATACATTTAGCAGACACTTTTGTCTAAAATAACTTCAAGAGTTCACACTTAGCTGATTGATTATAAATTGTGTTTGGCATGCTGTCCTTTTAGAGAGCCCTAAGCTTATAAGATCCTCGAGCATGGGGCTCCCATGCGTTTGCAGAGTGACAAGGAATACTGACCTCGGGTAGGTCTAGAGAACTACCCTGCTATTTATGGCTAATGACAAATTAGGAATTGCTACAGAGAAATGTACTGCTGATTAAAAGCTCTTATATGGTGCTAATTCAGTTTGGTCAATTCACCAATGTTGCAAGTTTTTGGACTGTGGGAGGAAACCGGAGAACCCGGGTGAAACCTAAGTGAGAATGAGGAGAACATGTAAACTCCGCACAGAAATGTGGACTGGCCTATTAGAGACTTAGACCAGTGATGTTTTTGCTGTGAGTGCTAACCACTGGGCCGCCGTGCTGTTATATCAAGAAAAAGAAAGGAGTAGTAGGAGTGGAAGAGGGGATTCTTCAACCCGAAGATGATTGAGGTAAGGAACTTCGGTTATTTATAATGAGTTAGGAATCATCCCATTGGTGAGTCATGTGTTAGCTAATGCGGGACCAGCAGCGATCAATCACAAGCACATGATCACATGATCCTCTCGAAATTAACTTTTAAATAAACTTCACTTAAAGTAACTAATCCATCACCTTAACTTCTCGGCCACAAAAGAAAAGAAAAAAAGACCCAGGTAGTGCAACAACTGGATATTCACACAGAATGTGTCTTCAGCGCTCAGGAAAGTACATCCTCTGACATGTTGCCGTGATATGCTGTCATGCTCAGGGGTGGATTTAACCAATAAGCAAGATAAGCGGCCGTTTAAGGCCCCAGGAAATGTGAGGGCCCCCAAATAAATATTTAGAAGTATATATGATACCTATAAATGATATATGACATCATTTTCTATCCTATTTTGTATGATGTGTGTCTAAAAAATAAATGTTTAGCGTTTATTACATCTGCTCAAATGTATCACCCATCCTCAATGATGGAGAAGTCCTGCAGTAAATTTAGGTAAAGATTTCGTTTTAAAAACAAAATAGTTCATGTATAATTTTTAGTTGTGAATTCATTTTAAGAAAACCAATCATTTAAAAAGTTTTACAAGATGCTTTACATGTTGTTATTATTAGTTTGCATTAAAACAAAATGCAGAAAAGGAGTGACTGAGTGATATAAGAAAAACAAATGCAAACTAAATCAATTAAAATAAATTAAAGTACAAAAAGTGCATCTTAGAACTTTTGGGCTCCATGGCTGGAATTGCTCAGGGCCCCCAAATCACTAAATCCGCCCCTGGTCATGCTACTGTAAACAGAACCATCTTTGAGTTCTTCTGAGTGGTCTAGTGCTTTGGAACTGACATTGATGAGCGGCACTAGATGTAAATGTTGAAATTATTTTATCTTGATATGGCTTTTACAAAATGCATGCTTTTGTAGAAGTGCTGCAAAAGACTCAAGTGCATAATGGTCAAAGGCACATAAAAAACACTAGAAATATAAGGCACTTTCCAATCTTGTGCGCACATAAGCCAGTTTGTGGTTCCTTCTCTATACACATGCACATAATTGAACAGGAGTTGTCCAGTGCACCCATAGCCTAGCTAACCTAATTTTCCTAGTTAAGCCTTTAAATGTCAATTTAAACTGTATAGAAGTGTCTTGAAAAATATCCAGTCAAATATTATTGTACTGTCATCAAGGCAAAAAAAATAAATAATCAGTTATTAGAAATGAGTTATTTAAACTATTATGTTTAGAAATGTGTTGAACAAGTCTTCTCTCCGTCAAACAGATATTGAGGGAAAAAATAAACAGAGGGCCTAATAATTCAGAGGGGCTAATAATTCTGACTTTAACTGTATATCTAGATTAGAAAAGCATTTATATATATATATATATATTCTGCTAAAACCAGGTAGGAGGGTTTTCAGTATTTGTTTAAATGAAATAATAATAATTGAAACCTGATCTTAACCAACTATTTGTCATAAGCATATATAATTTACTCATAAAGTGGGGGGCAGAGTTAAGAGGTTGTAATCATTTTATTTAACATTTAAAAAATAACTTTTAACACCAGTTCAGTCAGGGCTTTTTTTATTATAAGCCTAAATACCTAATTAATTCCCTTATAATTCCCGAGTCCTGAAGAAACATGTTTTAAAAACTGCTACTTTAAGACATTTATACACTGTAAAACCCCCAAAATTAAGGTAACTCAAACCAGTTGAGGAAACCGATTGCAACAAACAATTAAAGTTCAAAAACTTATCCTAATGAGTACTGTAAACTTAATTTATTTAAGTAAATGAAGCAATTTGAGGACAGTAAAACCCAATAAATAAAGAGAACTCAAACCAACTGAGTACTGTAAAACCCAATAAGTTAAGCCAACTCAAACTGTGTGAAAATGAGTAGATTTAACTTTCAGTCAATTTTGAGTTAATTACAATCATTTGAGGAAGTCGACTGTTGGGTATTACAGTACAGTCATTTTTGTCTGTTCTATCACATCAGGTGTTTTTGAAAAGCAGATATATAAATACAAAATGTTTTAGATTACTAGTAGACAAGACATTCTTCACAACAACTGCAGACCAAGCCCTAAATAAAGCAATAAGTGATAAATAAACATAGTTTTCAAAATCATATCAGAAGAATGTTATTACTTGGCAGAATGGCAATGAACACAGCTGAAGACAATCATAAAAAACTATTGAAAGCAGCTCAAAATGACAGAAAATATTGAATTTCCTATTCACACTGTTAGTCACCTTAAAGCTTACAGAGAACAAACAGTGCAGAAGGCTTAAATTAATGAGTATTCACTACATTCTCAAGTGGCATACAGCTTTTGAAATCATCTCCCACGAGATGCTGCATCCTTGTTTTAGTTAAAGCCTTTGCAACTCCCCTGTTACAAAATGTGTGAGGTTACTAAAGCATGACACCTCTCTCCTAAAAAAAACTGCTGCATAATAAGATTTCATATAACAGTCTTATGTACCAAGAGATTATTGCTTGATGCATTCAATTGTAATGTTAACGATTTCATTCAATTCAAAAACCTTGGCTTTGGAGTTCCATTAAAAAATGACTCCAATGTGCAATGCAAAACCTCTTAGAACTAACAAAAGAAGTGTGATTTGCTAAAAAAAACTGCTCTTTTGTTGAAGCAATAAACTGGATTGCTCTACAAGAGCACTTCTAGTCTGACAGCATGTCAAAAACGTGAAGGATTTGAAATTTTGGAAAAAATATAAAAGATTTGAAAAGAACAGCTGGTTCACCATCCTGAAACCACATTTCAATCAGAATTTAAAGAATATGTTATGTTTATGTTAACTATAAGCTTAAGGTTAGGTTTATGCACCTCTACAAGTTTGTTGTCAAACTATTATTCCCCTCTGATTTTGGGAATAGTTTACAGTTATGGTTGGTTTTAGGGTAGGGAATGATTACATCTTCCAACAAAAATGTTACAAAAATCGTTTCAGGACATACTAGCATATTGTCACTATTTTAAAATGGTTTCAATGGCAGTAATAAAGGTAACACTTAAAATTTGGTCTGTATGTGTGAGTAAACTTGTACAGCCTTTATTCATCACAGTTTATAAACATTTGCAAATGCATTTTTAAAATCCTAAATTGAGTGTGGTAACATTAACTTATACGCCGTGAGCTAAAATTAAATGATAGGCTAATGAACATGTTTAATTTCTTTAACAAACGTTAACAAATATATTGATCAATGTTTGTTATAAAACACATTAACTGACACTAACTAGTGGACCATAATAATGTGGAAAGTTCCCCCTTAATGATTGTAAAGTACTTTGGGTATATGGCCATACACAACAAGTGCACTGTATAAATACAAATTACATTACGTAACTGTGGTACGCTAATTCATGGCTGTAAACTGTAGTTTCTAGGGACGTCAGTCATCTAAATAACAATAATAAGCATCACCCGTTATTTACAATTACATCAGTACAACACAACAAAAATTCCAATGGCACAGTAAAGTATAATAGTAACATTGTATAAAAATTAAATATTCCATTAAAAAGTTTAACAACAACAATTATATCAGTGCTTCATTTGCATTAAAAGAATATTGATCATTGTTTGTTATAAAACACATTAACTGACATTAACGAATGGACCAATCTGTGGTGTGCTAACATATGACTGCGAATTGTTGTTTCTTGGGATGTCTGTCATCTTATTGTTATTTATTAATCACCTCAGTTAAAAATGTCCTTTATTAATAAGCATTCACCCGTTATTTACAATTTCATCAGTAAAATACAACAAAAATTCCAATGGCACAGTAAAGTATAATAGTAACGTTGTATAAAAATAAAATATTCCATTATAAAGTTTAACAACAACAATTATATCAGTGCTTCATTTGCATTAACAGATATATTGATTATTGTTTTTTTATAAAACACATTAATTGACATAAACTATTGGACCATAACTGTAGTGTGCTAATCTATGACTGCGAATTGTAGTTTTTAGGTACATCAGTCATATAATTGTTATTTATTTATTTATTTTAATTCCCTTCGTTAATAATGTCCTTTAATAATAAATAATTCACCCGTTATTTACAATTTCATCAGTAAAATACAACAAAAATTCCAATGGCACTGTAAAGTATAATAGTAACATTGTATAAAAATAAAATATTCCATTATATAGTTTAACAACAACGATTATATCAGTGCTTCATTTGCATTAACAGATATATTGATCATTGTTTGTTATAAAACACATTAACTGAAATTAATGAATGGACCATAACTGTAGTATGCTCATCTATGACTATGAATTGTAGTCTCTGGGGATGTCACTCATCAATTTTTTTGTTGTTGTTGTTTGTTTAAATCCCCTTCGTTAATATCATCTTTTATTAATAAGCATTCAACTGTTATTTACAATTTTATCAGTAAAATACAAAAATTCCAGTGGCACTGTAAAGTATAATAGATTAATAAAACACATTAACTAACATTAACTAATGGACCATAACTGTGGTATGCTAACTTATGACAGCGATTTGTTGTTTCTAGGGATGTCAGTCATCTTATTTAATGATATCCTTTATTAATAAGCATTCACCCGTTATTTACAATTCCATCAGTAAAATACAACAAAAATTCCAATGACACAGTAAGGTATAATAATTAGCATTAAAAAAAAATATTATATTCCATTATTAAGTTAAACAACAGCGATTAAATCAATGATTTATTTGCATTAACAGGTATATTGATCATTGTTTGTTATAAAATACATTAACTAACATTACAATTTCATCAATAAAATACAACAAAGACTCTGTGAACTATAATAACAACATTGTATTGTATAAAAATGTAATATTCCTTCATAGACTTTAACAACAACAATAATATTAATGATAAATTTGCGGTCTTTACTTTTTGTAAGCGTTCGCTTCACAACAGCATCCAGTGGTCAAACACACAATGCTCGTAAACAACTCTAATCACCAAAACAGACGCAATAAAACAACGCTGATGGAAAAAGCGCATACTGCTGCCACTACTGTTCACTGTAAAAGAAACGCTTACCTCGCTATGACTCTTCAAGCATCCCGACAGATTTGTGCACGTCCATCTAGTCTGGAAATTGTTTTAGAATTGAATAGGCAACTTCTCCATAATCCACCTTTGTGAAAAACACACTGTACCGGTGCTGTTTCCTCGTTGTTACTAAACGCTTCAGCTGAGGGACTCTGTCTGGCTCCTCTCTCACTTTGACAGTGATGACTGTTTTCGACACAGTCCTCAGGAATACCACTCAACTAACAAAGGATGGACAAACATAAAAACAATGAGAGATAATTTAGAAGAATAGTGGATTTGAGTTCATTGTGATGGAGAGACAGAGTGAGCGGTCAAAGTAAGTGGCGGCTTAGAAATCCACTCGATCATGTACGGTGTTCTCTGCCATTGGCTTAAGTGCTGACAGGTCTATTCGGTAAAACCCCGCCCACTTTTTGTGATCCACAGTGTTAATGAATTAATGTGGCAACTAGCACACTTACTGCATGATTTTCACACCATGGAGAGGCAGAAATGTACAAAACATTACAGCGTCCAAATAATCGGTCTATTAATATCATTAATGTAAAAAAAAATTAATTAATTAAAATGTCATACTAAGCAGACATTGTTCGTTAGATTACATTGTAAAAAATTCAAAGATGATTCGATTCCTTGAATTTACTTAACTTTTTAAGTGGTTGTAAACAATTTATTTGAGCTGTTAAAACTATTAAACAATTAAAGTTGGACAAAAATGTCATTTGTTTAAATTCAACACATGAATTGTTTGCAACAATTTTGCTAACATATTTTTTGTGTACTTTAATATTATAATCAGTTTTATATTATTATATTATAATACTTTTATATATAAATACAATTATAATTGCCTATAACATATATTCCCCATAATTAAATAGACTACATTTTTTTTTACATGTAGCTTTATTAATAAATAACTAAATAAATATATAAAAAGAGAACCACTATGTTTTATGTAATCTGTTTTATTTTCTGGAATAATAGGAATAAAAATCAAAAATAAAGAAATAATAATAATAGTAATAATAATAATAATAATAATGATTCGAATCCATTTCAGTTTTAGTTTATTCAATTCACATATCACATGTCTTTGAATTGTGGGAGGGGAAAAAATGCAAAATACTCACAGAAATGCCAACTGACCAAGCCGAGGCTCGAACCAGTGACCTTCTTGCTATGAGACGATCATGCCATCCACTACGCCACCATAACTCCAACATTTGATACATTATACTATTTATAATGTCTTAATGTAAACACAAGCTCCACTCTTCATCATAAATGTAACCTTTAAAACTTCAGCAGTATACTATATATAAACACACACACAAAACATTTAAACAGACCAGTAGCAGGTCAACCATTTCACTTCCTCAAAACAAACTTCAAAAGTTATTCTGACCTTTTTATTACCATTATTTTTGTACATAAAGGTATGATGAACAGGGAATAACTCATGCCTGAATAGAAAAACAACTGTTGTATAAATGATAAAGAAATTATTTTAAATTTAGATAAAAACTCTTTTAGGTATTAAATTTAGGTATTCTCGTAATCATGGAAATTCTGCTATTTCAGGGATTGTTACGCATGGACGCATAAATATTTTTTAATCGTTTTATTTTCTTCTTGTGACTGGGAAAAAAGACAGTCATAAAAGCATAAAACAGCATGTGCTTAAGCATGACAGACCAATAAGAGTGTTCTGTATCACTTTAGTCATAAAATCTTGCGCATCACAGACTTGTCCATCCAGCTGCTGAAGAAGCGGAAACAACAATTGGCCGCACACTATGATGCATATTTCAGCACAAGCTCAAGGGATGGAGGTCACAGATGCGGTTCCCCTGTCACGTATGCAAGCACAGTTGCTGTCCTTCCTATTTTAGTTAAACTTTGCACAAATTCACACAACCTTTGCTCTTTCTGCGTGTTCAGCCAAAAATGGTCTTAGAACAAAAAAAAAAATTTTTTTTTCTTTTTTTTCTATTTCATGCCAAATGCTTGTTAGCTAAAAAAATGACTTAATATTTAAAGAGTTCAGATGCAGAAACCTTTAAAGGGTTATGAAACCCCCCTCTTTTGGTTCAAGTCTACCGCTGATTTTTTATTTATTTATTTTTCAAAAAATAGCTTCATAATGGTCGTGAAGCTTTGAGATCAGAGGGAAGAGCAGGGGAAAAAGAGGGGAGTGAACAACTGTTGTCAGTTAGCTCACAAAATGAGACACAAACTGTGTGGAGACGCAAGATTTTATAGTCTACAAAGTTAAAATGCAAAGAAATAAACAGTAATATTTAATGTCCTGCTACATTTGTTATTTGTAATTTCTTATACATATAACCACAATTTGTTCTATCATTATAAAGATATTCGTGTTCATATCAACACTATACATGAGGATGGATTCTCTCCTCCTCAATCAACAGGTCTGAATGCAGACACAGTGGATAGCAATGCAGCAGGTCTCCTGCCCAGTCTATTCCAACTATTAGCCATGCTGGTAATCTGGAAGATTTTAAGCATAGACGAACACAGCAGCCCGGATATAGGCAATGTGTCTGAATGGTAACAAACTCAACTGATAAAAGACAAAGTTCACCATTTTCCAATTCTCACACAGCTCTCCTGACAAAAAATTTTTTGCTGCAAACCGAAAGCTTTGCTGTACCAGCCCTGACAGAATCACAGGGAAAAAACATGCAAGAAACCCCATGGATCATGAAAACAAACACATACAACCTGTGCTGTGTGCAGACAACATCTCACCCAGTCATTGGGACTCACATCTTGGCAGGTCTGCCTTGCTTTCTGAAAGCACATGCTCTCATAATTAAGAGGCAGGCTTTTCTCATAGGATAGGAAACTCCGCAATGAATAATAATGAGAAAACGATGCGTCATCACTACACTAACAGATTCAAGCTACATCACCGATTTTGATCCCGCCCCAAAAATGTATTTTAAACCTGGAAGATGAAATTAGCTGACAAAAGCTCAAAACTATCCAGTTTTCCCCACAATCAAAGCTGACAGGTGCTAACAGTGTCTTACCTTATGCTCAACACACAATGTTTTTTAAATTTCAAAAATAAAATACTCCAGAGTGTCTTGAACCTTTGTTTTTCTAAAATTAGCATTTTTCTCAGCCTGCTATGTTCATGTTCAGTTATTTTACTTTAAAAGCAATGATAAGAACCTATCCATTGCCATTAATGTGAAATTACTAAACCTACATACAGGAGGATGAAAACAAATGCTTGTTTTAGAAGAAATTTCAGATTGCACTTGAAAGTTTTGGATCTGAACCCTTTATTTAAAGGTAAGCTTGTCTGCAGAGTATGGTTAAAAACTAAAATGAATGCTAATGCATGCAAATTGCATTTTACATAATTGTATACATAAGGAAAAAAGGCTGAATCGTATAATTCACATGGGGAAACACAGAACCAACCTATTCTCATGTATATTCATACCCTTTAAAGCAGACATTCTGGCATGAGCCTGGAAAGAAAATAATTTGACTCATATTTATATTCATATATTATCAGCAGTGTTTTTATTTCCTTACCGAGAGCCATAAACCCTTGGAAATCAACTTAGGTGTGAAGCTCTTCCATTAATCTAATGCTGTGTTCGCCTGATAACCACAACACTATGGAAATGACATTTGTTTAATATAAACATTGTAGCTTTACACAGGATTAAGGAATATTGGCTTCGTACCCGTTATGCAAGTTGATTCAGCGGCTGAAGGTTAAGAGGATTTGGTAAACATCTCTAGCACTAATGTTTGTGCTTCAGATCAACATAATCAGACTGGAGTGTTTGTGTCAGTATCTCACCTACATGCGCATAAATGAAAGAAACATGTCAATTACATCCACATAAAATGAAAGCATATTAGCATTTTTAATGATTGAAGTCTTATTTTTTTAAGGGAGGCAGTGTTGCATCATAAGGGAATGAAAATATGTAGAGGATCAGAAAGACCTTGTATAGGAAGATGCTTATTTTGCCCACTTCAGAGGTCTGACAGTTTTGATTATCTGGATGAAAATTCCCTATCACAGTTGGATGCAGAAATGCATTTAACGGCTTACTAAGAATGTTTTCCTTACTTGGCAGGGCTAAATCCAAGGTGTCAGCAAGCACAGCCACGTGTAGGTTACAAATGAAGCACACACTGTGTACTTCTGTATGTGTTATCAAATGCAAATCTGTCTAAATTAAAAAGAAAACAAATTTAAATTGACAAAACAGTATCTAGCAGTGAAAATTATTTTTGCTAGATAGCTAGCTGTTATTGACATTTGTAATAGTTTGAAGTGATATATTGTCTGGAACGGTGCTTGTAAATCACGTTACAAAAACATTTTAATCAATCTGTGCAGTAATGGCGCAAGCTTAACTGGTGCTCTGGGCAAACGTACCGAAAATGGTGTTCATGTCGCCAGATCGCAGACGAAAGTAAAGCAAAATGCTTCCCTGAGTAATCGCCCACTGTGCCTGTGAATCTGTGAACCCTTTTTCTGTTATATTACAAACTTCATAAATCATTAATTTATTTTATTTTCGGCTTAGTCCATTTATTAATCTGGGGTCACAACAACAGAATGAACTGCCAACTTATCCAGCATATGTTTTACGCAGCGGATGCCCTTCCAGCTACAACCCATCACTAGGAAACATTCAAACACTCAGTCACACTCATACACTATACGGACAATTTAGCTTACCCACTTCACCTGTACCCGAGCACCCACAGTAAATGCACGCGAACACGAGGAGAACATGCAAACTCCACACAGAAACACCAACTGACCAAGCCGAGACTCAAACCAGCGACCTTCTTACTGTGAGGCAATTGTGCTACCCTCTGCGCCACCATGCAGCAGCCCCAAACTGTGTTAAACTGAAAATGTTGAATTTTCAACATTAAGACAGAGCCAAGATCAATGACTCATAATGCAATTCATAAGTCAGAAAGATTGTTTTGAGATACGAAATCAAAAATTTAAGTAACCATGTAACCATGACTACCTGCCCAGTAGACACACAGCATCTTAATACATTAATATTAGGTTAGATTTAGGTCACCAGCATCTAAGGACAAATTTATTTTGACATCCAACAATGTTTATTGATTTCAGGTTGTGTTGGAAAGTGACCAAAATCCAAGATCAAGCCAACATCTTAAACCAGGGGTGTCCAAACTCGGTCCTGGAGGGCCGGTGTCCTGCATATTTTAGTTTCAACCCCAATTAAACACACCTGAACCAGCTAATCAAGCTCTTTCTAGGTATACTAGATTTCCAGGCAGGTGTGTTGAATTAAGTTGGAGCTAAACTATGCAGGACACCGGCACTCTAGGACCGAGTTTGGACACCCCTGTCTTAAACCAAC